CAGAAGATGCAAAGGCGCCATCCATCTTCCCCCCTCGTTCCGCCACTGCCCCTCCCGCGTCTCCTCCTCCCGCTGCTACTGCTTCCCCTCCCCCGCCAAACCTTCCCCCATCCGCCGCCACCACTCCTTTCCCCCGCCCTCTGCCTTCTCCAACCTTTTGCAACACTCCGTGTCCCCCTGCCCCTCCCCCTCCCCCTCCCCCTGCGCCTCCCCCTCCCCCTCCCCCTGCGCCTCCCCCAGCACCGCTTTGCTGCAGGGACGCGGCGTTGGCTGCAGTTGCTGTGGCAGCAGCGGCATGAGCGAGATTAGGGTAGGGGCTAGCAGGGGCGGGGAAGGAGCGGTGCACGCATGCGGGGTTGTTGCAGCACGCATGGCCGCCCGACACTGCCTGTGCATGTGCACTTGCTGCCACACTCGAGGCTGCACCTCCTGACAACCCACCGGCAGCACCAGCAGCATTACCACCAGCAGCATTACCACCAGCAGCACCAGCAGCACCAGCAGCGCCTGAACCTGCTGTCCCAGCAGCACCAGCAGCACCAGCTCCCCCCCCACGCGCTCCCCCATCCCCTCCCCCGGCCGCACCACTCGCTCTGCTCCCGCCCCCACTCGCCCCCCCATCCCCAAACAGCAGCCGGTTCACCTCCTGCTGAACCACCCTCACGGCCTTGGGAGTGGCCTTGCTGCGGTGGCATCTGAGAGCCTCCACCATGCGGGCTATGTCTCGTGATTCCAATGCTGCCTGCAGAGCTGCTGTTGCTGTCGCCTTGGCTTCTGATACGGGGTCCTTGCGCGGCGGGGACGGCGTTGATAGGGAGAGCAGGGACGCTGGTGCGTCGCTGACAGTGCTGGCTTTGGTACCGCTGCTGCTGGTGGTGGTGGTTGTGGCAGTGGTGGTGGCGGTGGCGGTGGTGGTGCAAGTGGTAGTGGCGGGAGAGGGGCAGAGGTGGGAAGGAGAACCTAAGGGATTGGAGGTTCCTCCTCCACCTCCTCCTCCTCCTGCCCCCCCTGGTGCGGTGCTCTTACCGCTGCTCGAGGGGAGTGGGGAAGTGGAAGAGGAGGTGGAGGTGGAGGTGGCAGGCCGTGCAGTGCACGGGAAGGGACCGGGTTGAAGGCCCAGTGACGTGGAGGATAACGAGGATGACGAGGACGATGAGGCGAGATGACAGGTGTCCCGCTGTTGGTTGACATGGACATGGACATGGAGGGCCGGCCGCAAGGGGGGCGGGAGGGGCAGAGAGAGATTGAAGAGGGTCAATGGCAGATGGGGACAGGGTGAGAAGCAAGAACGGCACACGGATGTAAAATACTGATGCAGAGTCTTCAGAGCAGAAGCAGCAGTCAGCATGGGCACATGGGCACATGGGCAACACGGGCAACATGGCACAAGCATGTGCATGGCAGGGGCATGGCAGGGACATGGCAGGGACATGGCACACGTGCACAGTGGGAGTGGGGCACAGCACAGCACAGCACAGCACAGCACAGCACACCTGTGACGCCCTTGAGTGCATGAGCTTCTCCACCGCTGCTGGCTCTGCCTTGAACGCCAGCCAGTCCTTGAAATCCTCCATTATAGGCGATGTGCGCGCCGCCACCACCTGATGCACGCATGCATGCATGCACACATGACACACATGGCACACGTGGCACACATGGCACACGTGGCACACATGCCAACATGCAAACATGCACACATGCACATATGAACATATGCACACATGCACACGTGCACACACGCACACACACGCGCACACATGTGCACGCACACAGAAACATGCACACACACACACACACACACACACACACACACACACACAAACACGCACGCACACACACACACACACACACAAACATGCACACACACACACACACACAAACATGCACACACACACACACACAAGCATGCACACACACACAAACATGCACAATGCACACACAGACACACACACACGCACACACACACACAAACATGCACACACACACACACACACACACACTCACACGTACACACAAACATGCACACACACACACAAAAGGACAGTCAGAAGAGAGTGATGGGCGTAGATATGGTTTACGCACGACAAATGACAGCCGGAGTTGCGACCGCACGTGCGATCAAAGTCACACCGCATGTGTACAAGCGCAAACGTGCACGCACGAATGCAAGCAAACACATACAAGCCTCCCTTCAACTCTCGTCGGATCACAAATACATTAAGTCATCATGTATTGGATAGACTTTTGAAATTTATCAAAGGTCAGAACAGCTACTACCATGGGCCATCATGGAAACATGCAACTTCCAAGGAAAGCAGAAGATTGCCCTCATTGAGCCCGCACCAACAAGCCTAATAGAGAATGATACAGATGTGTTGACGGGGAAACCCAGGCTTGCCCTTACATGGAAAATAGCCGAGGCTTCTGAGGTGGTAATTGCCTTGAGCGCCCTCTTCTTCCCCATGAGCCACGCACACGCCCTGTCCAGCACAGCACTGCTGGCACTGCCGCCACAGCGCCGCAGCGCAGCAAAGAGCACGCCGTACTGCCCCACCTTCACCGCCTCGCTCAGCACCCTGTTCGCCTCTTCCTCTGATACCTCCTCCACCTCTTCCACTCGCGCCGCCACCCGCTCCTCCTCCCCGCCCGCTCCGCTGCCCACGTCGCTCCGCCTGTCACTCTCTCCCCTGCTGCTACTGCCTGACGTCTCCCTGGCACCAGCTGGTGCGTGGTTGTGCTGCTGCTGCTGTTGCTGCTGCTGGTGATGGTGGTGATGATGGTGGTGGTGGTGGTGGTGGTGACCCCCACAGTGAGCTGACTTGCATATTCCACCACCACCTCCTATTCCTCCTCCTCCTCCTCCTCCTCCTCCTCCTCCTCCTCCTCCTCCTCCTCCTCCTCCTCCTCCTCCTCCCCCTCCCCCTGCTGCCCCTCCGCCCTTCCCTGCGCCCCCCCTGCCCCCCACTCCTGCCAGCGCATCGCTACCGCCCTCCTTTTCCCCCGGTCCCGCTCTTGCACTTCCCCCCCAAGACCCCTGCGCAGTGCGCCTCACGCCTGCGCCACTTGCGCCCGCCGCCGCTGCTGCTGCTGCTGCTGCTGCGACTGCTGTTGGGGCTGCTGCGACCGCAGAAGGGGCAGTGGCGGAGGAACCGGCAGCAGCAGCAGCAGCAGCAGCAGCAGCGGCGGCGGCGGCGGCGGCGGCGGCAGAAGCAGCAGGCGTTGTGAGAACAGGCGCAAAAGGAAGGGACAGCTGGATACCAGCTCCTGACGCACTGCCCGCGGCACTGCCCACAGCACTGCCTCCGCTGCCGCCAACGCCTGTTCCGCCGCCCCCACCTCCCACTCCGCCGCTGCCCACAGCACCTGCGCCTGCGCCAGTACCACCAGGCGCACGGGTGACAAAGCGCGTCCCCTTACGGGGCCTAGCAGCCCGGATAATAGGTGGGTGCTGCTGCTGCTGCTGCTGCTGCTGCTGCTGCTGTGGCTGTTGTTGTTGCTGTGGCTGCTGCTGCTGCTGCTGCTGCTGGTGGGTGTGCGGGAGCAGGGGGAACGCAGGGGACGCGGAAGCGGCAGAAGAAAGCGCAGGCGGAAGGGCGGAAGCGGCCGCAGGCGAGCTGACATCGGGCCAGATGGGGGCATCCGCGCCGAGTGCACCCGCGCCTGCGCCTGCGCATGCGCCTGCGCTTGCTGCGCACGAGCCTGCATGAGCACCGCCAAATCCAAAAGCCCCGAGTGGGAGAGAGGGAGAGGGGGATGGGAGGGGGAAGAGGCTGGCCGGGGCGAGTGGGCATGGGTACGCACAGTTGCCTGCTGACAGGGGCAGTGACGACGACACGGACGGAAAGCACGGAGCATGCGCAGGCAGAGACGTAGCATGGATAGACGCAGCAGCGGCAGCGGCAGCGGCAGCGGCAGCAGCAGCGGTGACATTTGCAGTAGCTGCTGCTGCTGTCGCTGCAGCTGCAGGTGTTGTGGCGTGTGAGGAGTTAAGTGCTGTTGCGCCCGCCTTGGCTTCTGCCGCTGCGTGTGGGGCGAAGAGCGGAGCAACAAGGGGAAAGAGCGCCCCTGCTGCTCCTGCGCTTGGTGCCCGCCAGTTCCCCGCATCCCCCCCTTCCGCAACTCGTGCGCCGAGCGCTTCCCCAGAGAGAGCGCTGGCGCTACCTGCTGGGGGAGCGGAGGCGCCGGTGGCGGAAGCACTATCGGCGGAAAGACCCATTTCTTGAGCCGCAGACGCGGACGTTCCTTGCTGGAACTCCCCACCATCCCCATCACCCTCTAGCGCAATCGCCGCTCGCTTGTTCGACTGCCCTCGCTGCGCCGTTGCCGCTTTGCCCGCCGCACCCGCCGCGACGCCGTTCTCGGCGGTTCGGACGTCACTCGCTGCCGCCGCGGATGCAGCAGCAGCAGCAGTGGCGGGATCGAAGGGCGGGGAGAGAGGCAGCGGATGGTGAGTAGAAGTACCTTGCGCGGGGACAAAGACACCGTTTCCAATACCGGCCGTAAACGCCATTCCCTGAGGCTGCGACGGCTGCTGCGCGGAGCACGTTTGCTGGTGCGACTGGTTGCGCATGTCCCCCTCAGGCAGCGGGTGCGGAGAGTGCTTCCGCTGCTCCGCCGGGGCGGGATCGGCGGAGGAGAGATGAGTGGTGGTTTCGGTGGTAGGAGAGGAGGAGTGAGCGTGGGACGTGGAAGAGGAAGGGTGATGCGATTGGTGGCCCCGACCCATGAAATCGTATCCGAGGAGACGTGGGAAGCGGGAAAATCGTAAAAGAGTGGAATCGTGGAGCCGTGTAGAGCCGCGGGGAGAAGCTGAAGCTGAAGGTGAATCTGAGACGCACAGAGCGACCAGGACAAGGAAGGAAGGCACGGAAGGCAGGTATCGGTTGCAGGTACGGAAGGCAGGTACGGAAGGAAGGTACGGAAGGCAGATACGGAAGGCAGGTACCGAAGGCAGATACGGAAGGCAGGTACGGAAGGAAGGTACGGAAGGCAGATACGGAAGGCAGGTACGGAAGGAAGGTACGGAAGGCAGGTACCGAAGGCAGATACGGAAGGCAGGTACGGAAGGAAGGTACGGAAGGCAGGTACCGACGGATGGAGGACGGAACTCAGATAGATGATGAAGACGACGACGTGTAACCCGGTGAAAGAAGTAGAGCAATCGGCATGGACAGGGATGGATAGGGAGCAGCGTACGAGAACGGCGTGATTTGTTCCTCCCAGGCACCACGACACTGGTTCCGCTCAGCCGCGCAGCTGCAACTGCGTCCTTAAAAACTCTAAAAAACAAAAAGTCGGATCTCGGAAGCCAAACGGCCAGCGTGCGTGGACCGACACCGAATTCCTGTTGGTCGAATCGACGGGCAAAATTTCTCGCGGATGAGATTCGGCAATTGCCAAACTCGCAGATTCAGTGAGTAGGAGGAAAGGATGATACCGATAAACGTCAGGTTCTGGTTGCAGACTTACCTGGATGTCTTGATGGAAATGGCTCCTCAGCGCCGACAAGATTGGCTTCTCGCGTGCTGGAAATCAGCCGCTGTTTATCAGTTACCCCAGCAAAACCATATCATAGACTGATCCTGAGTATATTAGAATGGTAGCTAAGAAGCGGACAGTGGTTAGTGGTTGGCTGGATGGGATGGTGGTTCTGGCATGGGCCACCTTGGGACTGCACCTGACAAGGAGAGCCGCGATTGGTCGGTTGGGGACAGGGTGGAGGTCAGATGCACTTTCCTGGGGTTGTGTGCTGTGGGCATGGCATGGGCCATGGCTGTGTGGATGCCATGCCATGCCATAGAGGTTGCTTGCTCGACCTCGGTATAGTCAAGTTGTGAACGACAATTGGACGACAATCACACAACAATCGCAAACGTAAAAGATCAGAACGAATACTGTAGCCCGGTGCTGCACATTAGAACCCTATCTTTAGAAATTTCTGAGACGGCTATGGTAGTCTATATAGAATAATACTATATATTCGTGTAATTTCAACATCTATTGGATACATATAGAATAATGTTACTATGATACAACAAAGAAATCTAGAGGACCACAGCTTTATTCACCACAAAGAAAACCAATAACAAAGCTTAAAGAGATTTTTTTTTTATTTTTTTTTTTTTTGGTGAGCATAAGTACACTACACGCATATATACACTCGCAGTCGTAACTGATTCTAGGAGGGCATGCAAGTGGTTACAGGTAACCAGCCCCCCCCTTCCACCTTACGGAGGCTGGAAGGCTACACCGCCATCTTCCCATATGGCCTTGAAGCCCGCTCTCCACGTCATCGAGGCTTCGTTCTCGTACAGTCTGTTCAAAGCCGTTGCCTCGTCAGCATTCAGGTGACCCCACTCCCCTGTCCTCTTCGAACCACCCCTGCCAGCCGACCGTTTCCGCACTCTGCTGTATATCTTCACGTGTCTTGTAAAGCCAACCGCCATGCGCCTCAGTGCCCTCTTAGACTGAAAACGACTGCCACGGAACACCGCATTGAACCTCTCCAGCCACACTTGCTGTGCTGTACTTGAAATGATTGCAGCCTCCGGAAAACCGGTCGACGTGCCGCTCTTCTGGAACAGCATGTCTCCGAGGGACTTCATTTCCCTGCCCGGGTTCATGCACTGTACCGCACCCTTCATCACCTCGACCACTGGCTGGATCGCCGGGCAGCTGAATAAACAGTGATCCTGCGACTCCACCCCTCCACAGTGCATGCATTTCGCCCTCTCCCCCAAGAAGGGAAGCCTCTCCCCCACTTGCAGGTTATTGTTGTGCAACCTCAGCACCACCTCCCTCGCTCTGCATGGGGTTGCCAAAGAGTCCCGGACTGTGATGGCCTTCCCCCAATCGATCTTCTTCCCCGTCTCCTCCTCCCACCGCAGCTGCTGCTTGGGCTGAGACATCAAGGGTTTCATCGCCTTCCTCAGCTGTCTCAGCTCGGCTCGTTCTCCCTTTTCACAGATCGGGGAGTGCAACAGTCTTGTCCTTGGGGTTCCTAGCGGGCCACGAACTCTCCCGTCAATGACCGCCATGGGCGTAGCTCGTAGGAAATCCACCGTCCCCACATCAGCGTATGTCACCAAAGACATGAAACCATTTTTATCCACTTCCACCCTCCTTCCGTATAACACGCCGTCTTCCACGTGCTCCAGCTGATAGTAAAGAAACTTTCCCGGCCGGTACGACGGCGAGCAGATAAGCGCTGTTTCCCTGAACACCTCCTCCGCCGTCAATTGATTAAGCAGCAAATCTCTCCATCCCTGGGGCGTCGCTTCCCATGCCTTGAGAGGCCACTTCCTCTGCACCTCACCTCCCAGCTCCCGTTCCAGGACCGCCACGCTTTTGAGACTCCTGCTACCATTTGCGCCTTTGGCTACCAGGTCCCCCAGACGGACGCCCTTCAGACAGTGTGAGCCCGCCTGATTCCCAAAGGGCGAGCTACCCCTGAAGAAAATCTTGCGGTTAAAAAGCAACTGCTCCTCCTCCGCGTCCCATCTGTGTGCAGGGTCGCCCATGGTCACAATTTTCGATTCCCACAGCGCCTTCACCGCTGCCTTCCACCTCGTGCCTCCGCCCAGCCAATGTTTCAGCACTGAGGGGTGGGCGTAGATCGTAGTCAAGCCGAGCGGGAAACCGGTCGCCCTTTCCCATAGCCAGTTCCGTAGTGGCACCTGTTCCGCCAGAACTTTTCCCAGATTTTGTATCACAATGCTGTCGATCCGCTGCTTCAGGTCTATCACTCCCAATACACAAGAGATGAGAAATATACACAATCATGTATATCAGCATCAACCGTTCTCCATATTGACCCAGAAGAAGCATTGGCATCCAGCACATTTTGGCAACAGCAAAATCGGGTTTCCCTTAGGCTGGGGGAAAATGCTTCTTGGATTTTGGAAATGCCCGAAGCCCTGACCGAACACAGCCCAGATATGCCCTGGACCACGTCAGGCTGATGTTGGAAGGCCTAGTGTTCCATTCATGTAAAGACAGCTCAGCAATTCCAGCGTAGCATTTCCACGCTGTTTGGCTGACTCTCCTCCAGCTAATGCAGATTTCCTGGCCTGGCTGCTAAAATAACTCCTCCTTCCCTCCATTGGCTTGCACGTATGCTTCGCTTGCCGCCATTTGCGCTGCCCGCCATTCCTTCTTCCACCTGGCTTCTTGGATATGCTTGCTGTAACTTCTCGAGTTCGTGCTTATTAGTTCCCCTAATTAGTTCCACATTTCGTCAACAGCTGTTGATTGAATGAACGGCAAGTACAGAACGCCAATCTCCTGCACGCCAATTTCGTTTTGTTTTCCCTGTAATTTAGGACTAATTCAGTGGTATGCGATAGGTAGCGTATCACGGGTGCGCGTTGTCTAGCCAATTAACATATTCCTGGGCTTCGGTTCCCTCAAAGTTAATCTTAAAGCCAGCGTGGAGTGAGAAAGCTCTTTTATCGCATCAACACACGCATTCTCTACCTCTCTTCCTCCATCCACCTTCTCACGCTCGCCTTCCCCCAATTCGTAACACGCGCCCGGCCGTTAAAGACGTTGTCAGGCGCGCCCGCCGGCCGAAGCATGGCGGAGCTGCTGGCGTCGCCTGGTCGGCAGCGCGACGGGCATTTCAGTCTGCGCAGCCGGATACAGGAGCTGTGGCAGCAGCGGGAGGACGAGGAGGAGAAGAAGCGCCACGAGACTGCGGACGGCGGAGCTAAGGATGCGGCGGGGAAAGCGGTGGCGGGAGAGAGCGGCGACACGGAGCAGGCAGCGCTCAATTGGGCGTTTGAGAAGCTGCCCGTGTCGCTCTTCCCTCCCGTGGCTTCCGGACAAGGCGAGTTGTGGCTGGATTAGTTTTGGGTTTTTGTTGTTGTTGATTACTAGTGCGAGCTGTTGGCTTGTCTGTTTGCTGTTCAATATTTTTCCGTCTCACTTTCCTCCCTCCTGCTTGCTCCCCCACTTTTCTCCCTTCCCTCCTTCCCCGTCTTCCCTCCTTTCCCCCCTTTCCCCCACTTCCCTCTCTTCCCCCCCCTTCCCCCACTTCCCCCCTTCCCCCCTTCCCCCCGCCCCGCTCCTTTTCTCCCACCCGCCTCGCTTCTCCGCTTTCCTTTCCCGCTCGGCTGCCACGTGGCGGCGCGCAGTGATCGAGGTGGCGTCGGACGCGAGCGTGGCGGACGCGATTCACCTGCTGTCGCGGCACGGCATTCTCTCGGCGCCCGTGCGCAACGTGGACGCGCCCGCCGACAGCAGCTGGATCGACCGCTACCTGGGCCTGCTCGACTTCGCGGGCATCGTTCTCTGGGTGCTCGGCCGAGTGAGTGCAGGGGGAAGGGGGGGAGGGAGGAGGAGGGGGGGCCTCCGGCGGGTGGGTGCTGGGGTGGGTGTGTCTAAACGTCCAGAAAGGAAAGAGGTGAGTGAGTTTGCGGAGAGAAAAGTGGGCTATTTTTGTTTGTTGATTTGTGAATGAAGGACGCGGATGTAAGGATCGCGCTGGTATGTGCGTGATCGGCTCGTAGTGAAATAGAGTGTTAAACACGCACACACGGTACTACACACACACATACACACGCTCGGAGACAGCACAAAAAGAGAATCGCCATGTTGGGAGACTAGTTTCCATCCACATGCTGTTGCCTCCTCGCTCCGTTCGTCTCAGAACGCCCTCAGCACTCCACTCCCTTGTCCTCCCATCAGCATGTGCTCGTATCAGGGATCGGCCTCCCTCGCTCTTTCCCTGCCCACTATCCGTTCTCCTTGCCCTCTCGTCCCAGCTTTTTCTTTCCAACCTCCCATTCCGTTTTTTCTTTCCTGGTTTCCATTTCCATCCACCTCTCGTTTCTCCTTTCCTCTTCTCATCCTTCTCTCCCTTCCCCATTCCAGTGCTCCTTTTTCCGCATATATTATCTCCTCATATCCCTACTCGGCTTTCCCGTGCGTTCCCTCGCCTTCCTTCGTCCTTCCCCTTAACATCCCCTACCTTGTCCCCCCCACCCTTTCCCCTCCCTTGTCATCCCCCCTTTCCACCTCCTTCGTCTTTTTCCCCCTCTTCTCCCCCCTCCGTGTCGCCCCCTCCCCAGGCGTCCCAGATGAAAGCCCGCGCGAGAACAGAGAAGGGGACGGGGAGGGGCGACGAGGCAGGGGGGAGCAGCACAGCAGAAGAAACGGAAGAAAAGGAAGGGGAGGGCGGGGGGGGAGGAGCAAGGGGTGCGGCGGCTGTGACGGCGGAGGCAGTGGCGGTGGCGGCAGCAGTGGGCAGCGGCATTGGAGAGAGGGGGCTTCCCCCTGCTGGCAGCTTGGGCGGAGATTTCTTCTCGCTGCTGCTCAAAGCAGACGAGTTTCAGAACACCAAGGTGGGTGGCGAGGGTGGGTGAGGCGGGGTGGGGGGGGAGGAGGGGAGAAGGGTCGGGAAAAAGGGGAGTAGTGAGGGAAGGGGGAGAGGGGAGAGGGAGGAGGGTAAGATTAGCAGGGTTTCTAGGTCAGGGTTTCAGGGTTTCATTACCTATGCCAGCCTTGAGACGTCTCAAAACTAGTTTTGAGACGTCTCAAAACTAGGGGGAGAGGGGAGAGGGAGGAGGGTAAGATTAGCAGGGTTTCTAGGTCAGGGTTTCAGGGTTTCATTACCTATGCCAGCCATGTGCTTCCAGGGTTTCAGGGTTCCAGGCGTGGTTCTCAGCTTCTGGTCTACTCTCTCTCTCTCTCTCTCTCTCTCTCTCTCTCTCTCTCTCTCTCTCTCTCTCTCTCTCTCTCTCTCTCTCTACGCATCCATCCTCTAAACCCTCCCTCACGTCCCATTCCTCAACCCTCAATCCTAAACCCCGCTTTTCCTCCACCCTTACTGCAACCGCTCCCCTGCCCCTCTCTCTCCCGAATCTCCCCATACTAGGTATCGGACGTGGCAGGGTCGTTGGGGTGCGTGCTATTCCTTAAGCCGCCTCAAAACTCCACTCCCCAATTACCCCCCCCTCTCCACCAGATTCTTGACTCGACTAAAAAAAAACGCTTCCCAAACCACCTCCCCCCCCACCCCGCCCCCCGTACCAGGTCTCAGACGTGGCAGGGTCGTTCCGGTGGGCGCCGTTTCTCCCGGTAACCCCCGACGATTGCTCCTCACGCTGCTCCTGCTGGTCTCCAAGTACCGCGTGCGATCAGTGCCCGTGGTGGAGGCGGGGCAGCCGGCGGTGCTGAACCTGGTGACGCAGAGCAGCGTGGTGGAGGTGCTCGCTGACTGCCACCCTCGCTGAACCCCGCGTTCCCACCTTCCAACACCAACACCCCCACCATTCCCCTACCCCTACCCCACCAGGTCTCAGACGTGGCAGGCTCCTTCCGGTGGGCGCCGTTCCTGCCAGTGACCCCCGATGACTCCCTCCTGACTCTCCTCCTGCTGGTGTCCAAGTACCGCGTGCGATCGGTCCCAGTCGTGGAGGCGGGGCAGCCGGCGGTGCTGAACCTGGTGACGCAGAGCAGCGTGGTGGAGGTGCTCGCTGACTGCCACGGCCTGCCCTGGTTTGATCGGCTCGCGGATCGGCCTATTTGCGAGCTCGGGCTGCCCACGCTGCCCGGAGATAAAGTGGTCGTGGTGAGATGCAGTTGTGTGGGGTGGGGTGGGGTGGGGTGGGGCGGGGGTGGGATGGCATTGCACCCTCGTCTCGCTGGGCCTCCCAACATCCCCACTCGCCCGGTTTTTTCTGCCAGCATTCCTTATCTCCTCTCGTCCCTGCCTCTTGCGCACTCATTCCTCCTCTTTCCCCTCTCGTTCAGCTTCACCTTCCAACCCTTTCCACTCTTCCTCCTTCCCTTCGCTCATCTTCCCCCCCCCCCCCAATCCCCCCCGCCGTCCCCACACCGTCCTCCCTCCCCTCTTCTTCCTCTCATCAGGTGGAGGACGATGCACCGGTGTTGGAGCCGTTTAGGCGCATGCTAGCGGCGGGCGTGGGGGGTGTGCCGGTGGTGGCGAAGGGCACGCGGCAGGTGGTGGGCAGCATCAGCGTGCGAGACATCCAGCTGCTGCTCGTCGCCCCCCAGCTCTTCCACGACTGCAGGTCATGCTCGCTCGCGGGATGGGAAGGGGGGTGGGGAGTGAGAAGGGGGAGGGAAGGTTTTGTTTCAGCTTCTAGAAGAAAATGACTCGAGAATCGGAAAGGAAAGGTGGGGCATGAGGATGGAGGAGGGTGGTGGGCAGCATCAGCGTGCGAGACATCCAGCTGCTGCTCGTCGCCCCGCAACTCTTCCACGACTGCAGGTCATGCTCGCACCTGGCACGGGTGGGTGGGGGGGGAGGGAGGGGAGAGAGTTGGGATGGGAGAAAGAGGGGGAGAGGTGGGGAGCGACGAGCGTGCGAGACATCGGGTTGCTGCTCGTCGCCCCGCAACTCTTCCATGACTGCAGGTCATGCTCGCTCGCACGCACGGGGAGGAACGGGGAAGGGGAAGGGGGAGGGGGAGGGGGTGGGAGGGGGGTTGTGTGGGGGGGTCACGAGGAAGGTGGAAGGTTCGGGCGGGAGAGAGGGAGGCAAAATGGGACGGAGTGTTCTTGGAGGGGGGGTAGAGTGGAGTTGGGAAAGGCACTGCCGGTGCAAGGTTTGGGTTGGTTCAGTGCGTTAGGACGTAGTAAAAACACTTGCCGTCATGTGCCCTCCCACCTGTGCGGCCAACAGGCCCCTCACCTTGCACCATTTCATGGGGATCCCTGGGTCACTGCCGAGACACCTCACAGCATCTCCTTCCTACTCCTCTCTCCCCACTGTCTATCCTCCTGTCTCCCCTCCTGTCTCCCCTCCTGTTTCTCCCCCTGTCTCCCTTTCCTCATCCCTTTCCTGTTGGCACGCTCCCCCTCCCTCTCCTCCAGGTCGCTGACAGTGGCGCAGTTTCTCGAGATAGCCAAGGGGCGCGGCTCCTCCACAGGGTTCATCTCCCCGCTTTTGATCCCCGCTACGGCACCTGACTCCGCTTCCCTCGTCCCCCCCCTGCCTGCCCCCTGTCGTCCCCCTAACCTGTCTCCCTCTCCCAGGTCGCTGACAGTGGCGCAGTTTCTCGAGATAGCCAAGGGACGCGGCTCCTCCACCGGGCTCATCTCCCCAGCAGCCATCCCCCCGACTCGCTGCCGCGCCAACACGCCCCTGCGCCGCGTCATGCATGCGCTGCAGGCAGCGCGCGTGCACCGCGTGTATGTGACAGACGAGGTGGGCGAGCTACAGGGCGTGGTGACGCTGAGGGATATCATCGGCAGGTTTGTGGTCGAGCCTCCGGACTACTTTGGGGATTTCTTCGGCGGGGTGGTGCCGGATGTGCACCCCACGGCGTCTGCTCCCATGTGGCTGCATGCGGACTGGGACATTGGGGGCGGGTGGTGATGGGGGGAGAGGGATTAGAGTGCGGAGATGGCATGAGGCCTTGGTTGCAGCAAGGGTGCAGGATTGGAAGAAGGGTGGTTGAAGGAGGGGAGGGGAGAAGGGGGGGGGGGGGGGGATGTGAGTGTGGAGGGTTGCAGTGAGTGGTGTATTGGGATTGTAGGCGTGATTACAGTGTTGCAGTGTGGTCAGTGGAGTGGGTTATGTGTGCGGAAGCAAACGATACGCATTGTCCTGCAGGCAGGGGGAGGGAGGAGGAAATTATGATCGCTCAGCTCAGCATACGCACACAGGTGAAGCAAGTGAAGCGAAGGCTGGTGGAGGCCTGAAGGCGCTGTGTATGGTTGCTGCATGCATTGGCCCATTTGAGGCTGCATTAGCAAGATGATCAGGGAATGATTGGATCCATGCTCCTACATGGATGTGCATGTAATGTAACCATTTCGTATCAGAAGTGCTGATGTGGCATAGTATTGTGACTTCAATGCTGACAGTATTGCTGTATCTTGCGTACTGGTAGCTGCTGCGCGCAATGTGACGGATGCTGCTACTGTAACTGTTCCTAGGAACCGCAGCGCCAAATTCTGAAGTCGAAACCCTGGGCTTATCGAAGTACCGTAGATGCTCAGATCGGGCGCACAAGAAATGGATTGATAGCTGGAACGATTCTATGTACCATAGCTCATAGAACACAAGAGACCTTTGAACCAGCTCCACTATACAGACCTGTACATAACAACAGCATTATGTGTTAGTACCGTACAGTTCAACATGGCCAGTGGTACGGTTACATTCCCAACATGTGTACCCAACAGGTACTGCCACTTGCCGTCCAGTCAGGCAACGACGAACCAGGGGCTTCACCCAGCAGCAGCATCAGCTTCCTGCTCATGTTCCACGATCCGGGGACGGCCGTGAGTGGAACGGAGGGGACGCATGGGGTCGAGGCGATTGCAGGCGGGCGGGCCAGGCCGAATCACAGTCTGCCAAGTCCTCCCCTTCAATCGCATCCCCTTCCTCCTCCTTCCGCCCGCCCTGCTCCCCTGCCGACTCCCTCTCCCCTCCTTCTTCCGATATGCTCCACCACCCACTGCTGGACCTCCGTGCCTCATCCCCCTGTGCTTCCCACTCCCCTCCGAACCGCAGCACATCTCCAAGCAAACCTCCCGAAACCATCCGCTCCTCCTCTATATACTCTTCCACACCCCTCACCTCCCCACCCTCTGCCAGCAACCTGTCAGTAAGACTCACTCGCAGGCCTGCCAGCCCCTCGCCTGATTGGATTCTATTCGCTCGCATTGCAGCCGACGCAGCAGCACCAGCAGCGGCGCCCGAGGCGGCAGCAGCGGCGGCAGCGGCAATGGCTCGCGGCGTTGGCACAACCGGCGTTGCAAAGGCATGAGCCGCGGCAGTGGCAGCAGCGGCAGCAAACGGTCGGACAAAGCCCCTGCCGCCGAACATGGGTCGCATGTATGAGTCATCGAACCAGCGCCAGAGGTCATGCACATCACTCTCTCTTGCTGACAGCAGCCGAGACGTAAAGCGCTGGTCTGGCATGGTGAGGCCTGGTAGGGCGTTGGGAGGCAGGCAGGACACTGCTGCTTCAGGTGGAGGAGCAACCACACTGCTGCTCGCCCCTGCTGTTGCTGCTGTGGTGAAACCCGCAAAGGAAGAGCTTTCACCCACTGCTGCTGCCGCTGCCGCTGCAGCTGCTGCTGCTGCGACTGCTGCTGCGGCAGCAGCAGCATCGGGGGCAGGGGGATCGGCAAAGCGGAGCACACGAGAGGGACGGGAAGAAGCAGCAGCGCCGTGTGCGGCTGAGGAAGAGGAGGGGGCGGAGTGAGAGGTACCGGGTGCGGCGGAGCGATAGGACCGGGGAGGCGCAGATAAACCAGAGGCGCAACTGAGGGGCGAGGGCGGGATGTCAAGGGCGAGAGAGAGGGAGGAGGAGGAGGATCGGCGGGGCAGGGAGGGTGGGTAGTAGAAGTATTTTGGCGAGGGCAGTGCGTCACTGACGAGGCTGGAGGAGCGGTCGAGAGGGCGAGGCAGGAGGTGGCTGATGAGAGGGCTTGTGAGCAGACCAAACACCTGTGGGCGGTGTGAGGTGGGAAAGGTTGGGAGGGACTTTACATGAGTGGAAGAAGCAGTGAAGGGGGTGAAGGGGCACGTTGGGAAAAGAGTGAACAAAGTACTTCCCTGAAGCCTTCTGAAGGTGCCAAAACTGAGTGATCAACAAACGATATGCCTTTGTTTGATATGTTGTGTTTGAAGCATTCAAAGAGACATCCTGAGAACTGATATGGCAAGTGTTAGTGGGAGAGAGATATGGAGGTGACAATAAGAGATGCACTCACGACTGTGGAGAAGAGGACGAGAGCAATGGTGGCAGCAATTGTGGTTGCAACCACTGGGTCTGCATAGTCCGGGAACTGCACAGGGGAAAGGAAGAGAGGGGGGGGGGGGGGGAGACAGAGAGAAAGAAGGACACTCAAATTAGTGAAATGGAGACACGGAGCATCAAGGAAAGAAATATGGATGGAGCGGCAAGCTTGATACAGATGGTAATTGGCATGCCAATAGACAGAGATGCATGTGTGGGGACACAAGTGGACAACTGACAGAAACGGTGGAATAATGATCAAAAGGTATCCGCGAAATGGCCTTTCATTAGCTACACGGGTTTCATTCACACACGCACTGCGGAGTAGGTGAGGGCGATGGAGACAGCACCACGAATGAGCCCCGCCCACCATATCACCACCTGCCAGGCATGGAAAGGAACAGTAAGGAATGGAGATGGGATGGGGATGAGGGCGTGGAGAGCAGGTAAGAAAACTGGTACGTGCGAAAACAAGCGGAAACAGGGAGAAACAAGTGAATTGCAGCGGGAAGAAGGGGGAACAAATGAGAAGCAGTGGGAACAAGTGGGAGGTGCTCCAAGGCGGCCCACCTGGTGCTGGGGGAGCAGCACTCGGCTGTTCTTGCGCTGGAGGTTGAGCAGGAAGGAGAGTGGGAAGACAAAGGCAGCACGCCCCAGCAGCACGAGCGAGAGAAGGATGCCAAACAGCACTCCTGCATTTCTGGCGAATATGGGGCAAGGAGATGGGGAGAGAGGGGGGAAGAGACGTGAAAGTCAAAACAGGATAGAGGAGTTTAGGTTGGAAGCAACACCGGAGGTCTATCGCAGTGGCATCCCTAACACGCACACATCTAGCAGTTGGGCAGAAAACATGGACAGAAAAGAGAGACCAGACCATACGAAACAGCCTTCAGCACCAGCAAACAAGAGCTCACGACCCACTACATCTACCTACCTCCTCGCCACACCTTCCGTGCCACAGTGGCCTGGCCAGGGGCGCCACATGTACGCACCACATGTGCACACACACACACACACACACACACACACCTGTGGTTGACGGAGTTCCACTTGTCCACGTCCAGTGCGTCCATGCCCACGTAGATGAAGATGAACGTCTCCGCTATGAACGACATCGTTGCAAACGCATGCCTGCTCGCACCACATGCACAGCGTGGATTCGGGTAGATGGGGTGAATGGGGGATGTAAACAAGACAGGTCGGAGTAGTGAGAAAGTGGCGCAGTGAGAGGCAGGGCAGTGAGGGGAAGGGCAGTGCGAGGCGAGGAGGTGCCAGTGACCTGGGCAACTGCAAGCAGAGATAAAAGTCCCAAATACCCCTCGGCCCAGCCCCAACCATCCCCAAACAGCCATCAGCACAGCAGCACGGAGCAGGCACATGGCACATGGCACATGGCACATGGCACATGGCACATGGCACATGGCACATGGCACATGGCACATGGCACATGGCACATGGCACATGGCACATGGCACATGGCACATGGCACATGGCACATGGCACATGGCACATGGCACATGGCACATGGCACATGGCACATGGCACATGGCACATGGCACATGGCACATGGCACATGGCACATGGCACATGGCACATGGCACATGGCACATGGCACATGGCACATGGCACATGGCACATGGCACATGGCACATGGCACATGGCACATGGCACATGGCCCACACTCACTTGGTGGTGACTCGAGAGCTCTCGGTGACGTTGTGCCACGTGTAGTGGCTCATGACGATGCCGGCGAAGAAGACGGAGAGGATGCCGCTAAGCTCCAGCACCTCTGACAGCACGTACGACAGGTACGCCATGAGCGCCATCAGCGCCACCTCCCTGTCCGTTGCATGCCTGGTGGGTGGCGAGGAAGAGTGGGGAGTGTGCGGGTGTGATGGGGAAGGAGCTGAGCTCCAGCACCTCTGACAGCACGTACGACAGGTACGCCATGAGCGCCATCAGCGCCACCTCCCTGTCCGTTGCATGCCTGGTGGGTGGCGAGGAAGAGTGGGGAGTGTGCGGGTGTGATGGGGAAGGAGCTGAGCTCCAGCACCTCTGACAGCACGTACGACAGGTAAGCCATCAGCGCCATCAGCGCCACCTCCCTGTCCGTCGCATGCCTGGTGGGTGGCGAGGAAGAGTGGGGAGTGTGCGGGTGTGATGGGGAAGGAGCTGAGCTCCAGCACCTCTGACAGCACGTACGACAGGTAAGCCATCAGCGCCATCAGCGCCACCTCCCTGTCCGTCGCATGCCTGGTGGGGGGCGTGGCGGGGAGAAGGGAGTGCGGGTGTGATGGGGAAGGAGGACGGGAGGGTGGAAGGGAAGGGAGATGGGGGGTGGGGGAGGGGGGACAGGGATGCAGGAGTAGAAGTGTGCGAGAGTCGGGTCGGGGGACAGGGGAGGAAGCTTTTGCCTATGGGGAGCATAGATGAGAGAGGTGACAGGGAGCAGCAAAAGAGTGCCGGGCAGGAGTATCGGCAACGGGTGACAGGTTGGCGAAGCACGAAAAGAGCGAAGAAAGCAAGGATGATGTTGTTGATTGATGAGCAGAGGGAGAGCAGAAGGGTGGTGCAGTGAGCTGCGAGTGGGATGATGGAAGCATACCCGACGAAATAGAGCTTCCTGATTATGAACGCTGACGCCAATCCAAACTGAGACATGCCACGCAGTTGGATAGGATGGGAATAAACGCACAGCGACAGAGAGGTTGTAGCGCTGGAAGCAAGAAAGCAAGAAGACACAGGTCATATGGGGTCATGACGCCAGGTCACAGGATGGACGAACGAAGAAGACACAGAAGGGATGAGATGGAGGGGGTGGGGTGGGAAGGGAGGGGGGGGCGGCGAGAGTGTAGACGTGGAACGTGACAAGCAAAATATGTGAAATCTGGCAGTCAATCCAGCCCCGCATGTGCCCCCTCCTTGCATCTGCATCCGCAGCAGCGGCAGCGGCAGCCCATGGCAGGGAGCAGGGGAGCACGCACAGCGATGCCGAGGGCAGTGGAGGCAGTGAAGAGGTAGAGGAAGTCAGAGGCAATGCCGGCAACAGCAGGCAGGTCGAGTGCATCGTGCTGCAGCTTCTGCACGGCGCGGAAGAGCACAATGGACGTGGCGTCGTTCACCACGCCCTCGCCAAACACCAGGCTGTACACCAGCGGCTGCTCGCCCTGATCCAACACCTGATAGCCGTGGGGTAGGAAGGGAAAAGGTAAGAGGGCATGGGAAGGGGAGAGGCGAGAGAGAGGAGGTGAGAAAGATGGCCGGGTAGGCATGGGAAGGGGAAGGGGTTGGGTTGTGGGCGTGGGCGTAGTTGCAGTGGGAAGTAGTAATACAGAAGGGAGGTTAGCGGGTGAGAGTGGAGGCAGGGAATGGATGAGTTGAGAGAGCTGGTGGAGCTTACTTGTAACGTGCAGACGGAATCAGTTGCAGAGAATATCACGCCAAGAGCTGCAGAGGAGGACGAGATGATGACGAACGCACATACACACATTGGGGTGCCGTGGAAGGCGAGAAAGGGGGGGATAAAGGTGAACAGGAACACAAAGAATTTTCAAGACACGATCTCAGAGGGTTTCCCTAGCAGCAATACACACAATGAGATTAGGTGCTTTCCTGCTCCCGTGCTAGAGCGGTACATTCACTCCTTAATCAGCTACTCCATTACCAGAACACGACTAGGACGCTAGCTTTGCTCCAGGTGTGCTGAGAAAGAAGAAGGACAGCCCTCACCAAGATACACGCGGCTGTGCTGTGGTGGAAGGCCCAGAAGGTCAAAGAGGCTCCTGCACCCTGCAAGGCACGCACGGTAACCACGGGACAGAGAGAAGCTAAGCACCACGAGCTCGCAAAGGAAAACAAAAAGAACGAGGCGCACACTTGCAAAACACTCGCGCAGAAACACTCGTGAATAAGAAAATGAACAGGAAAAGTGGCAAGTAGCAAGAGGAGCCATTTTTCGAGCTGGATGCACGTGCGGCAGGCAGGCAGGCAGGCAGGCAGGCAGGGCAGTGGTACCTGCTGAGATGACTCCAAAGGAGATGAAGACGCCCACAATGCCATACGCCATGATGGCTCCGAAGTTGCGAAAGAACTGCTTCTTCTTCACCTGAAACCTGCCATGGCCGAACGGACAGCGCCGGAGAACCGGGGGAAGGGAGGGTTGGAGGAGGAGGAGGGACCAGGGAAGAGGAGATGGACCAGGGATAGCAGGGAGAAGAGGGGGAACCAGGAGCCGAAAGGCAGCGGATGAGGGTGTGCGAGGTGAAGGAGAACGCGAGCGAGGGCGGAGAGCGCACTGATGTGACTGCACTGCGAACCTGAGATGCAGGACGCGAATGTGTCAAAGGAAGGGCATGTGATGTGACAGCGAGGTCCCTTCCCGGCTCTTCCGTGAATCTCATTGCATCCCGCTATCTCTCCCCCCCAATGCCTGCACGCATCCTCAGTCTCGCATCCAGCCAGCCAGCACGCTAGCTCGCTATAACGCCAGCAGCAAGCACGCGACGCAATAAGCTCGTCTTGGAAAGCAGCAGGGAAGAATGGGCACCTGGCTGGCATCAATCAGCAAGCATGCATGCGATCCGAGTGGGCGCGGGCGAGTGGGAACGCACCCGGCGTTGAAGATGATGGGAGGCAGCAGGTAGATGAAGAACAGGTCCTCGTCAAAGCGCAGCACCAGGGAGCTCTTCCCCTTGCGCACCAACAGCACCACGCCGCCGGTCACCAGGCCCTGCCATGCCATCGCCGACGCACATCCGCGCACAGTGAAAAGGAGAACGGCAAGCGGGATGGCGGAACTGGCAGTTCAAGCATGAAGCTTTCGTGGATTCGGGCCACCTAGGGATATTTCGCACGTGATGAATCTCACAAGCGACAGTCTCTTGACGTGAATTCGACCCATCCAGTGGACGTTATGGCTGTCCTTCGCAAAGGAGAGACGAGGCCTTACAAAGATAATGGCTGTGACGGACTCGTTGATCCATCGCACGTCCTCCAGTAAGTGGCCAACGACGATGCACGCGCACAGAAGGCTGACGAACAGCGTCAGCGCGGCAATATCAGTGCCTCCCGCAGACATGAAGTTGGTCAAGCTCGTTACACGCACGGCCGGTGAAGCATTCAACCCCATGATCGCTGACGGAACTTCCATCCTGTGATCCTTCAACGAGATCCCTAGCAGGAAACTCAGCAATCTTCACGAGAAAACTCGCAAACCTGTATGAATCGCATCGCTGATCGATTCAGATGCTGCTCTCGTCCTGCTAGTCCAGCAAATTGATATCGTCCCTTCGGTGTAAAGGGCTGTGGTGTGGAGGCACAACCAGCTTGATGGTCGTGACGAAACACCAGTTTCAACGCTTCTTGTGTTCACCCAGCTGCAGGAGCAGCGGACATCCGCACAGCGAAGCTGATCAAAAGCATGCAACACAACGGGTGGAGCATATGGCGTACAAGCATCAGAGGTGGTGTACGTATCCACGGCGTCTAATTTACCTTATTGGCCATTTTTGCACTAAAAGGCATTGGTTTCATCAGTGGACGGTGTTACATTTAGAGCGTGCAGTGCATAGGATACCAATTACATTCTTAGCATGTTCTCTATTATATATACCGTATATTCATACAGGTTCGCTAATGAATAACTACCCCAAACGACAAAAATGGCAACCGTAAGCGGCAACCTTACATACTGCCATGAGAAGAATGATGAACACCATGCCCATCAAATCCCACTATTCCCTCACGCCTCCCCCCTCCAACAGATACGGGGCCTCCCTCCACCCACAGAGCCCCCCTATTGTCCTTCCTGTCATCCCCTTTCCTATCTCCCCAGTCAACGTCTATTTCCCCCATGAACAATGCCCTGCCCGCAGCATGTTCTCTTTTTTATGTACCTATATACCACCCACATGACCTGTCTTGCAAATACACCTTCAAGGCCCGTGCCTACATCTACGCTCCCAGAAAGTTATCCCAACTCTACATTACAACTCAGAAGCCAGGGTCTCACTCAATCAGAGAAGCTGCCTTCACCTCCACTAGATGAAAATATATGTTTCCAGGGAAATGACACCTTTTTTTTAATTATTTTAGAGACTCCGAGGCAAACCTGTTCAAGACGCTTCCACACGGTGGATAACGGATATCAAAGCCAGTCCGTTTTGAACCACGAAATCGACCAAGAACGCTGCACATAGAATACAACACGAAACGCTGAACTAGCACCGGCTGGAGCTGCAGGTTAATAGTCGACAGGTTGTGGGCAAGTACGTTCCAAAATGTAAATCGCCCGGAATACACTGAAAATAGCGAATTAAAATTGTATTACTTCGACAAAAATACAGCCGAAAGTACCAGACTTCTCTATTTAGTACAGGCTGTCCTCCTGGTGGGTCTTGATGGTGACATCGGAGGTGGGGTAGGCAATGCAGGTCAGAACGAAGCCCTTAGCCATCTGGTCATCATCAAGGTAAGACTGGCCGGACTGATCCACGGAGCCGGCGGTAACCTGGCCCGCGCAGGACGAGCAGGCGCCTGCCCTGCAGGAGTAGGGAAGGTCGAGTCCAGCCTCCTCAGCAGCATCCAGGATGTAGACGTCATCGGCAACCTCAATGGTGGAGATGCCGGAGGGAGTATCGAGGGTCACCTGGTAGGTGGCCATCGAGACGCGAGCAGCGGAGGGAGCAACCTTGAAGGTCTTGGCCACGCTGGTCTTCAGCGTGGTGGTGGCCTTCAGGGAGGCAACCGGAGCCAAGGAAGCAGCAGCAAGGGCAGCCATGGTAATGGAGTGGAAGAAGAGCTGCACGAATGCTACACAAGCCTGATGAAATTGAGAATGCGTGAGTTTGTGGGAACCAAGTCAAAGCCACATCTGAAATACAACTGGAAGGCATCCAGTCCTCTTCGAGACTATGCACCATGCATGAAACTAACAATAGCCACGTGAAATTTCCTCGTAGAGGAAATCGAAGTGGATAGGATCCTGACCAGCGAATGGCAGAGAGCTTCGAGGTGGAGTTGGAACCAGCTTGCCCAACGTCCACCAGACATTGGTTAGCCACGTCACAAGAATGCTTGATAGTCGTCGAAAATATGACACAGAATCATGGGCCTGTGATGGTTGAAATGCTTACAACGGGGGTGCCCTTGTGATGCGCGCCACATACGAGAGATGCTGATCCACCACCTACACCCTCACAAACGCTGATGTGGAACAGGTGGGTATCATCTGAATCATTCCGCAATTTCGTAGGCAACAATCCACACAAGACTAGCCACGTATCTTCTCGATGTACACCTTCAACATTTCCCAAGGATGCCGCACGGCCTTTTATTGTCCACGCTAGGGCTAACTATGTTTCTAGAGAGCATAAGATATTATGATAATATTGATATACATATTTATACAACAGAAAGTCACTCCCCGCACAAATGTTGTATCCGTATGATGATCCTGTGTCTGGTCACTATCTTTATTCTCAAGAAACTGTACTATTTACCACTTTGATCCACCTCCATTTCGCCCAGTCCCACATCCAAATCTGTCTTGCTTGCCCTGTATATTTTCTGCCCTTTCCTGGCCCTTTGTTTCGTCCTGTTTCCTCCACTATACTGCCGTTTCTTATAGCACCAAACATCTCACAGATGCCCTGTGTGCAATGAATCAAATGCTTGTGATAGTGGCACCTTCAGGTAGCATACCCGTACTTCCGTAAGCATTACGCTACCCCTGACAAGTTTTTACGGCCTATGTTAGAAGCATCTTAATCTCTCCTTGACCCTCATTGCATTGGTTGCGTCCAATTCCAGCGTCCAGTTGTGCTGTGTACTTCTCGTATGTAATCGTTGTTGTGGTCGTCGACATCTTGTTGCTATTGTTGTACACGTTATCGTCATTGTTTTCTGCATTAAGGTATGCTAGTAATTCGGTAACAGGGCATGTTGTGCATTGTGTACACCATAGTTGAATAAGCTCCGTACTTGAAGTGGGAGCCAGTGTTATTGTTGTAAGCCTACTATTTGGTTATGTTTCAATGTTGGGACAACTTTGTCAAATTGTATTTGTTCTCTGTAGGCTGTATTGGGGCATACCCTAAAGGGTACAACACTTTAGGGTTAGGCAGTACTTGTACTCATGCTTCCTACCTAGTCAATCATTCGTACGTTCCTATTCTGACATTGTATTCAGAGCGGGTCCATCCTCCGTAAGACCGATCCGTTAGGGCCCACCACTATTTTCGACCTGCCCGAACTGCTCGAACTGCCCGTACTGCCCTGCCCGAACAGCGTTCCTCATGCTGCCCTGCCTGCGCGGCCCCACGTGCTCTGCTCTGCCCGTCGCGCTGCCCGCTTGCTGCCTAGCGCGCGACCCGCACGCTGCCCTGCTCGCGCTCTGCCCTGCCCTGCCCTGCAGCCTGCAAGCCGCTCTGCCCTGCAGCCCGAGTGTCGCCCTGCCCTGCAGCTTGCGCGCCGCTTTGCCCTGCAGCCCGCACGTCGCCCTGCCCTGCGGCCCGCGCGCCGCTCTGCCCTGCAACCTGCGCGCCGTCGTGCCCTGCAGCTTGCGTGCCGCCCTGCCCTGCAGCTCGAGCGCCGCCCTGCCCTGCAGCTCGCGTGCCGCCCTGCTCTGCAGCCCGCGCGTCGCCCTGCCCTGCAGCTAGCGCGCCGCCCTGCCCTGCAGCTTGCGCGCCGCCCTGCCCTGCAGCTCGCGCGTCGCCCTGCCCTGCAGCCCGCACGTCGCCCTGCCCTGCAGCTTGCGCGCCGCCCTGCCCTGCAGCCCGCGCGTCGCCCTGCCCTGCAGCTAGCGCGCGGCCCTGCCCTGCAGCTTGCGCGCCGCCCTGCCCTGCAGCCCGCGCGCCGCCCTACCCTAAAGCCCGTGCGCCGCCCTGCCCTGCAAACCCGCGCGCCGCCCTGCATGCGCGCTGCCTTAGCTTTCAGCACGCTGCTATACATGCCCACGCTCTGCCCTCGCCGCTACACTGCCCGTCATGGCAACGCCACCGGTCTTAGCGTTTGACGCCGACGGACTCCCGTACCGGTTCGACTTCTGGCTTTGTTGCCTGCGCTTGCATCTCCGGTGTTACATCAGAGATGGCGTCTCCCTACTCGAGCACACGTCGGGGTCACTTCCGGCCCCCACGAATCCCACTGAGCCTGCTGCTGACGCTGACGAGGATGTGCAGAGGCGGTACCGGGCGAACAACCTCGCCTACAGACAGTGGACGGAGCGCGACGCTGTTGCCCAGCCTGCCGTCCGATCTCTCCTGCCGGTCGACCAGAGGGATCACTTTCGACAGGTGACGTCGGCCCAGGCTTTGTTCGACGCTGTTGTTAGATACTACTCCTCCCTCTCTCCTGCCACCCAGCCTCTATAGTAGCGGCAGCAGAGTCAGCCGGAGACCCCCTCGCCGCAGCAGCTTAGGAGTGTTTTTCTCAGCGACGCGTCCCTGGTGATGTAGAGGCGTCTAGTCTACATGCCTGTGAGCCTGGTAGCACTGTTACAGCAGCTGTGGAGGCTTTACACACCTTCACGCTTGACTCAGGCGCGATTCGCTGCTTCTTCCGCGACTGCACCACAGTCACACCACTCACTGCACCTGTCCCGGTCAGTCTCGCTGACCCCTCTGGGGGCCCAGTCGTAGCACGTGCCTCCACCGTTCTCCCTTGTCCGGCAGCCCCCTCAGGCTCCCTCACAGGTTTCCACCTCCCCTCGTTCTCTAAGAACTTGGTGAGTAATGCTGTCCTCCAGGACCAGTTTGTCACTGTGACTACTCCTGAGGGTGAGCTTGTGGCAATCTGCACAGACTCACGCACTGGCGAGCACCTCGCCACTTTCACTCGGAGCCCTGGGTCTGGCCTGTACACAATGACCACTGAGTCCGCACAGGTAGCTGCGTCGGGTCAGTTCGCTGCGTCTTGTTCATGCCGGCTACTCTCGCACCAGACCCTCCTCCGGCACCACCGTCTTGGCTACCCCTCCATGCCGCGCTTGCGTGGCATGCACTCTCGTCTCCTTGTCTCTGGCCTCCCAAGGTCCCTGCCCCCGCTCCCGGGCTCGCTTGCACCGCCGTGCCTTCCCTGCGTCGAGGGGCGGCAGCACGCCGCTCCTCACTCCTCCTCGTTTCCGCCGACCACTGCTCCTCTGCAGACTCTCCACATGGACGTGTGGGGCCCAGCCCGTGTCCGTGGACAGGACTAGGAGCGCTACTTTCTGCTTGTTGTTGACGACTACACGCGCTACACCTCGGTCTTCCTCTTGCGGAGCAAGGCGGATGTCCGAGGTGTTTTGATCGACTTGATCATAGCTGTTCATCGCCAGCTGAGCGCTCGATTTGAGAAGGACCTCCAGGTCCTGCGACTGCACTCTGACAGAGGCGGTGAGTTTTCCTCCGGCCTCCTTCGGGAATTTTGTCGTGCGGAGGGCATCCGCCAGAGGTTCACGCTTCCGGCCTCTCCGCAGCAGAATGGGATTGCTGAGCGCCACATTGGCTTAGTCATGGACGTTGCTCGCACCTCCATGATCCATGCGGTTGCTCCCCATTTTCTGTGGCCGTTTGCGGTCCGATACGCCGCGCATCAGCTCAACCTCTGGTCCCGTGTGTCTCTTTGCCAGAGACCTCGCCTACACTGCGTTGGACGGGGGAGGTTGGCGATGCGTCGGCATTTCGGGTCTGGGGCGCGCTCTCCCTTGTTCGCGATACCACCGCGAGCAAGGTCTCTCCTCGCACTCTCCGCTGCGTCTTCCTTGGCTTCCCCACCGATGCCCCGCCCTGGCAGTTTTACCACCCTGTCTCGCGCCGGGTCCTGTCTTCACAGGACGTCACCTTTGACGAGTCGGTCTGCTTCTACCGTCTCCACCCGCACACGTCTTCCCCGCTCTCCCCGCCGCCCCTCTTCCTAGTCCCAGGTCCTCCTCCGGTAGACCCCCTCCCCCCGCAGGTTCCTGCTCCCTCAGGTGTGTCTCAGGTCGACCCACCACCATTGGTTGAGCCTTTGGAGGTCTCCTCTGACACCTCTGGCCCAGCTGAGGGGGGTGACCCCGCGGCTGACGACACGGCGACGACTCGCCGCTCCCCGCGCTTGGAGACACCTCCTGGTTTTCCGCCTCGGCCGTCTTCGCCGCCTCCGCAGCCTGTCGATGTGGGCTCTGGTTCTGAGGGTGCCGGTTCTGGGGGTGTTGAGTCTGGGGGTGCCGGTTCTGGGGGTGCTGGTTCTGGGGGTGCTAGAGTTGCTAGTGCTGTAGGTGCTAGAGCTGGAGGTGCTGGTGGTGCTGGAGGTGCTGCTGGTGGTGGAGGTGCTGGAGCTGCTGGTGCTGGTGGTGCTGGAGGTGCTGGTGGTGCTGGAGTTGCTGGAGCTGCTGGTGCTGGAGCTGCTGGTGCTGGAGGTACTGGAGCTGCTGGAGCTGGAGGTGCTGCTGGTGCTGGAGGTACTGGAGCTGCTGGTGCTAGAGGTGCTGCTGGTGCTGGAGGTGCTGGAGCTGCTGGTGCTGGAGGTGCTGGAGCTACTGGTGCTGGAGGTCCTGGAGGTACTGGAGGTGCTGGAGGTGCTGGAGCTAATGGTGCTGGAGGTCCTGGAGGTGCTGGAGCTGCTGGTGCTGGAGGTGCTAGAGCTGGAGGTGCAGGAGCTGCTGGTGCTAGAGGTGCAAGAGCTGCAGGTGCTGGAGATGCTGGAGCTGCTGGTGCTGGAGGTGCTGGAGGAGCTGTTGCTGGAGGTGCTGGAGATGCTGGAGGTGCTGGAGCTACTGGTACTGGAGGTTCTGGAGGTGCTGGAGCTGCTGGTGCT